CCCACATCGGGCGCTACCACAAAAGCCAGCAAAAAGAGTAAAGGCTAGGGTTAATCTACTCCATCAACAAGTCGATCCCAAAAAGCCGGCTTCCGGGCACGCCCGAACCAAACTGGGTGCAACAACATGCTAGGGGCACGAAAAGTGGTTAACAACAACAAATGAGACGAAAGTCTCAATAAGTTAATGACCCTAAGCCCCGCTTAGGAGGCTAACTCGCACGGGGGTCCCTAACTGGGCAATACAAAGATCATCAACGGCACATCATTAAACAGTCCACGGGCATCCTTACCTCGCCTTGGGACACTCGTTGATGAAATGCATATGTCGCAAACTCGAAGCATCTAGATCAATTACTCATGCATCAATGCATCACAAGCGGGCGTGTCCCGATTATAAGATAAAATCCACTTGAGCACGTCCCATACCATGCCTAGCAGTTTCTACCACATAATCAGGCACTATGCATCACACGTATTCCAGTTATTACGCCCCCTCGGGGCCACCACACATTAAGCGATACGCAGCAAGATGGCGGTCTACCGGTAAAAACCGGGCTCCGTCCCTCCCCGTCGGGCACGGCTACGTCAAACGATCTACAGTAAGACGGCATTCCAATACGGCAACATCAAACGATCTACAGTAAGATGGTATCCCGTAAGGAGCATCGAGTCCGGCCTCGGGCCGCGACAAGGCATCCGGGGTATCGGCATTCCAGATAATCCCCAGGCATCCGATAAATCGGGCATCGTCAAGCGATACATAGCAAGATGGCTCCAACGTGTGACCACACGAGCACACAAGCATTCCGGCCAATTATTATCTTCTCAATTAGCCCATGCATACATGAATCGTGCTCTCCTCGATGTCATACAATAATACCAAGTGGCCACACATGCAAACAGTCAATCAATTCTTGCAAGCTTCGATATCAAACACGAATATCAACTACCAAGTATCACTAACATTACTTGGCATAACAGAATAAAATAATTTAATTCCAAAAGTCTCATAAATTTTCCACAGAAACTTTCGATCAAACAATTTGCCATAAAATCAATTTAATACGACAATACGCGGCAAAATCGCCAACATTCAAGCTAGAAATCATAATTTGAAATTATAAATTTTCCGAAATAACAATAAATTAAATTCGGAATTAATTAATTACTAATATCCGAAAATAATTTAATTTTCCAAAATGTCAAAATATTTTGTCGAATCGAAATCATTCAAATCATTTCCTAAATACGCCAACTTATACGGCGAAAACCAACATTGGCATCACAATTTGACGCTAGAAATTTTTCGAAAATAATAACATTTAATTTTCGAAAATTAATTATTTAATAATAAAATATTAATATTTAATCCGAATTTATCATTTAATAATAAAATAATATTTAATTCCGAAATAAATTCATTTAATAAAATAATCAACAATAATAAAATAATTAATAACCTATCATCAAAGATCATCTAATAATCCAACATTAACTTAATCTAAACCTTAATTAAACTACCCTAAGCAAGTTTAACACCCTAAACACGGGATTAGGGGTTAACTTACTCGGCTAACGCCGGCGATGACGCGAGGACGACGGCAGCGACGAGGGCGGTCCGCGGTGGTTTCCGGCTCGGCCCGGCGAGTGACGGACGAGCGATGAACGAGCGCAGCTCGGGCCATGGGGTCAAGCCCTGGCGCGGCTGGCAGTTTCGACGACCGGGACAAGAAATGGGCGACGGGTCGGAGGTGGACGGCGAAGTCGGTCCCGGCAGCGAACGGAGCTGGGTAGGGCGAGCTCGGTCCGGTGAACGTCCGGGACGGCGGTGGTTCACGGCGGGGAGGAGCGGCGCTCGGCGGTGGAGGAAGAAAAGCGGGCGGACCGGCGAGGACACGACCCGAGCGTGGCTCGGCGGTCCGACGATGAGCGGTTTTGGGGTGATAGCGGCAGCGCGGCTCGACTAGGGCGGAGCCATGGTGGCGCGACGAGCGGTCGGTTCCGGCGAGGAGCGATCGGCGCGAACAGAAGCAAGAACAAGAAGCCAGAAGCGGACAAGAAAGGGATGAAGAAGAAGCAACGGCGAGGAGGAGGAAAAGAGAAGAAAAAGAAAAGAAAAAGAAAAGGAAAAAGAGAGGAAATGATGGGTTGGTGGGGAGTGTCGGGCGCATGGGGGGAAGCCAGCGGGAAAAGAGGGGAGGAGAGAGAGAGAGAGAGAATGGTCAAATCGTACTCAAGTGCGATCCGACGGCCACGGTTTAAACCCGAAAAACGATCCGACGGTCCCCGAAAAATCCTAATTAATATTTTTAGGATTTGGCCAAAATGGTGTTAATAAAAACACACTGCGAGGGTGGTCTACCAGTCCAAATTCGCACCCGATCAAAAATTCATTTTTCACGTATCCTGGTTAATATCGAGATTAGCCACACTAATATCGACACCGTCCAATTAAATTCGTTCTGGAATTCCGAGAAATTCGACACCAAAGTTTGGGCTCTAAATAACGGCCAAATTCGATCGAATGCGATTCTAGCGAAATCTCAATTTTAAAAACAATAACCGGGAGTGATCAGTTCCCGGGCGAGATTTTACTATAAGCACACCGACGAATTACACGTTTTATAAATCCCAAAAAGGGGTCGAAATTCGGAATGTCAAAACTCTTCCCCCGTTACAAAAATTTCGTCCTCGAAATTTACACTCCAACCCAACTATTCAAACAAATGGGGGTATTGGTGTCGCATCAACTCTTCACTTTCCCACGTGGCTCCCTCGGTCCCATGATGTTGCCACACTACTTTGACAAGAGGAATCGTTTTGTTTCTTAATACATGCTCCTTCCGATCCTCAATTCTCACGGGTCTTTCCACGTACGACACTCTGTCATCCACGTCGATCTCTTTATAGTTCAAAACGCGGGTCGGATCCGGTTCATACTTTCTTAGCATAGACACGTGGAATACATCATGTACTTGAGCCAACCTTGGTGGAAATGCTAGACGATATGCCAACGTTCCAATTCGCTCCAAGATTTCGAACGGTCCTACATATCTTGGGCTCAGCTTGCCTTTCTTGCCAAAGCGCGACGTTCCTCGCATCGGTGATACCTTTACCTTGAGGAACACATGATCTCCGACTTGGAACTCCAATGGTCTACGTCGCCTATCTGCGTAACTTTTCTGGCGACTTTGAGCAGTCCTTAGTCTATCCCTGATGACTTTAACAGCATCCGACGACTGTTGTACCAACTCGGGTCCCGAAATCTTTCGTTCTCCAACTTCGTTCCAACAAACAGGAGTCCTACAAGGTCTCGCCATAAAGTGCTTCGAAAGTTGCCATTTTGATACTCTGCGATAACCGTTATTGTACGCGATTCGACAAGATGCAACTGTTTCTTCCCAACTCCCTTTGAAATCCGGAACGTTGGCTCGTAGCATATCCTCGAGAGTCCGAATCGTTCTCTCGGATTGTCCATCCGTACTCAGCGGATGAAAAGCTTGATCTGCATCTTGCAGCTTTGTTCCCATGGCGCCTTGAAGACTTTTCCAGAACGTGGCGGTGAACTTGGGGTCTCGATCTGACGTGATCGTCACCGGCACGCCATGGAGACGAACTATATGTCTCACGTACAACTCAGCATACTTGTCCATGGCAAAGTCCTTTCGCACTGGAATGAAATGAGCAGACTTTGTGAGTCTATCTACCACAACCCAGATGGAATCATTACCTCTTTGGCTCCTCGGTAGACCCATCACGAAATCCATCGTGATATGCTCCCATTTCCATTCTGGTATTTCCAGAGGTTGCAGTAGTCCGCCAGGTTTACAGTGTTGAGCCTTCACCTGTTGACACGTTAAACATCTAGCCACATGCTTGGCAATATCTCCTTTCATGCCATTCCACCAATAATATTGGCGAAGATTCTGATACATTTTTGTACTGCCCGGATGAATACTGTAGTTACTGCGATGAGCTTCCGCTAAAATTTCCTCTTTAAGTCTTTCATCGTTGGGCACACACAACCGTCCACGAAACTTCAAGATCCTATCCTCGGATACTTGAAAGTCGGGTTTTCTCTTAGTTGCGTCCATTTGCAGAATCTTTTGCAGCTCAGGATCTGAAGATTGCGCTGCTTTAATCCTGATTTGCACTTCAGGCTCGATTCTAAGAGTAGCCATTAAACTCGAGAGGTGACTTACCTCGAACCTGAAATCCGAGTCCCGGAATCCTTCAAACAAAATCCATTCTTGAACCATCATATGCGCAATCGAGGACTTTCGGCTTAACGCATCGGCTACCTTGTTAGCCTTACCCGGATGATACAAAATGTCGCAATCATAGTCCTTAAGCAGCTCCATCCATCTACGCTGTCTCATATTCAATTCTTTCTGCGAAAATAGATATTTTAGACTCTGATGATCCGTATAGATATGAAACCTTTCTCCGCACAGATAATGTCTCCAAATCTTAAGCGCGAATATGATAGCAGCCAATTCCAAGTCGTGTGTCGGGTAATTCAACTCGTGTGGTCTTAATTGTCGGGACGCATATGCTACAACTCTTCCATGTTGCATTAAAACACATCCCAATCCTTTGTATGACGCGTCGCTGTAAATCTCATATCCCCCTGAACCAGACGGTAAGGTTAGAACAGGTGCAGTAGTTAGCTTCTGCTTAAGCTCTTGAAAACTACGCTCACACTTATCCGTCCATTCGAACTTCGTGTCCTTTTTCAGTAATCGCGTCAAGGGCATGGCTATAGCAGAAAACTTTTCCACGAACCTCCATATATAATAGCCAGCCAATCCCAAGAAACTCCGAACTTGCCATCGTCGTTGGTCTAGGCCAATTCATGACCGCCTCAATTTTAGCCGGGTCTCTCGAAATTCCTTCCCCGGAAATCACGTGTCCAAGAAAAGCCACTCGAGTTAACCAAAACTCGCACTTACTAAACTTGGCATACAATTTATGATCTCGAAAAGTGCAAGATTGTCCTCAAATGCTTTGTTGATGTTCTTCCAAACTTCTCGAATACACCAAAATGTCATCAATGAACACGATCACGAACCTATCCAAATACTCCTTGAACACCCTGTTCATCAAGTCCATAAAAGCTGCAGGCGCATTTGTCAGACCAAACGGCATCACAGTAAACTTATAGTGTCCATAGCGCGTTCTAAATGCCGTCTTCGGTATATCTTCCTCTCGAATCCTCAACTGGTGATAACCTGTCCTCAGGTCTATCTTCGAGAATACCGAAGCTCCTTGAAGTTGGTCGAATAAATCATCTATCCTGGGCAATGGATACTTATTCTTAACCGTCACCTGATTGAGTTGCCGATAGTCGATGCAAAGGCGCAACGACCCATCCTTCTTCCTTACAAATAGAACTGACGCTCCCCAAGGTGATGCACTAGGACGAATAAATCCTTTGTCCAACAATTCCTCGCATCCGAACCTTTAACTCCTTCAATTCCGATAATGCCATTCTATAAGGTGCCTTAGAAATCGGTTCCGTGCCTGTGGGCCAACTCAATCACAAATTCGATTTCCCTTTCTGGGGGCAACCCAGGCAATTCCTCAGGGAAAACGTCCGAAAATTCTTGCACCACAGCAATATCTTGCATCCCAGGTTCCTCTACCAAAGTGTCAATTACAGTCGCCAAATAGCCTTGGCAACCCTCATCCAATAACTGAGTCGCCTCGAGTGACGAGATTAAAGGGATCGAAGGTCCTCCTCGATTCCCGACAAACTCAAAACCGACACTCCCTACTGGCTCAAACTGTATCGTCTTACGATAGCAGTTTACCGTGGCTCGTTGCTTGGTGAGCCAATCCATTGCAATAATCACGTCAAAGTCGAACATCGTCAAAACAATCAAATCTATGCTATCCTCACGACCACCAACAGATAATTTACAACCAGTACAGCCTACTGCAGACACTATACTATCCTTTAAAGGGTAGAAATATTATAAACCACTCCCAGCGGTTTCGGACTTAACCCCACTAATTCCACAAATTGCTTAGCCACAAATGAATGCGTAGCTCTAGGATCAAACAAAGCATAGGCAGCATGGTCGTGTAATGAAACCGTACCTGTAATGACGGCAGGCGAGTCCTCCGCCTCCTTCCTTATGACAGCATAGACCCTTCCTTGCACTTGGGGTCGGTTCCACTGGTTCGGCGGGGCACTACTTGCAGGTTGTCCTACCTGCTGCATTGGTCTTTGCGCTCCCACGTCTTGGCGTGGACAGTCTCTGATATGATGGCCATGCTGGCCACAACCAAAGCAAGCACCTGTCCTAGCAAGACATGGAGCTGATCCGTGGCGCCTTCCACATAAGCGACAGGAGCCATTGTTGTTGTTGGACACCGGCTTCCTCACTCCGCCTTTCTTGCTAGGAGGGATGGGGAACTTACCTCCTGTCATTGGTCTCTTCCCAAACCGATGATTATCCTTGTTTGGCATAAACCGCGATCCAGACGCGGCTGTTCTCTCAGCTAAATTTCTCTCAATCAGCTGTGCCCTATCATATAGCTCATCATAGTTCTTTAGATTCAGAGGCACCAGTTGGTCCTTAATCTCAGGTTTCAACCCATCCCTAAACCTCCTTGCCTTATCAACTGGGTCTTCAATCAACCTTGGGGCATATTGGGACAGCTCAGCAAACCTTGCTTCGTACTGGTCTACCGTCAACTGGTTCTGTCGGAGACGCTGAAACTCATTCATCTTCTGCTCTCGAGCGCAGTCCGAAAAGTACTTATTGTAAAAAGCTTCCACAAAGGCATCCCACACCCGGGCCGTACCTTCGGGAAATACCCTCCTCTGGGTAGCTTCCCACCAAGTACTGGCGTTACCTTGCAATTGGTAGATTGCCAGTGTCACCTTGTCTTCATCTGTACATCTCAGTAAGGCAAAAACCTTTTCCAACTCCCTAATCCAGAGGGTTGCAGCCTCAGGATCACCCGCGCCAGTGAACTTGGGCGGCTTGAGTTTCAGAAATTGCTCCACCAACTTGTGCATATTCCCATTTCCATTGCCAGCTAACGGAACATCTACAGCACAGTGCAATGTGCGCAGTGTGCACAAAGTGCAGCTCGCAGCCGGTAGCTTGATTCTCTGGCCCGTGCGCCCTACTAAGATCCGTCAGAAAGCCTACAAGATCTGGTCCAATCTAGGATCCCCTGGTGCTCTCCTTCTGGCACCAGCCTGACCTGGTTCGGCCCTCCTCCTAGGGGCTCTCGGTTCAGGATTGTCCATCTCGCAGGATCTTTACAGAAACCTGCTTTCCAATTCCAACAAGGAATTAGAATTCCTGAGCAACCTGCTTACGAACGAGAAAGCTAACAACCAAACACAGGCACTTAGTGTCTTCCTAACTCACTATCCCAAAACCCATCGCACCTTATCACTCCAGGTTTCGACCAAACTTGGATCGAGCTGACCTTGCTCTGATACCAATTCGGACGGGGATGTCACGCCCCGAACCCCGCTATGGTCGTTATGATGCGACGACCCAGGACTCGTCGCCGACCCTTTTTTTTTATTTTTTAATTATGCATGCGGAAACGATCACAACAATCCCCGGACAACAACAATAAACAGGAATAGTTAGGAAAACAATTCACAACAGTCAAACCACACTATTTTGATTTTCACTTGATTAACCCATGGGAACATTCTTACATGCCCACATTGGGTGCTACCACAAAAGCCAGCAAAAAGAGTAAAGGCTAGGGTTAATCTACTCCATCAACAAGTCGATCCCAAAAAGCCAGCTTCCAGACGCCCTGAACCAAACTGGGTGCAACAACATGCTAGGGGCCTGAAAAGTGGTTAACAACAACAAATGAGACGAAAGTCTCAATAAGTTAACAGCCTAAGCCCCGCTTAGGAGGCTAACTCGCACGGGGGTCCCTAACCAGGCAATACAGCATCAACAGCACATCATTAAACAGTCACAGGCATCCTTACCTCGCCTTGGGACACTCGTTGATGAAATGCATATGTCGCAAACTCGAAGCATCTAGATCAATTACTCATGCATCAATGCATCACAAGCGGGCGTGTCCCGATTATAAGATAGAATCCACTTGAGCACGTCCCATACCATGCCTAGCAGTTTCTACCACATAATCAGGCACTATGCATCACACGTATTCCAGTTATTACGCCCCCTCGGGGCCACCACACATCAAGCGATACGCAGCAAGATGGCGGTCTACCGGTAAAAACCGGGCTCCGTCCCGCCCCGTCGGGCACGGCTACGTCAAACGATCTACAGTAAGACGGCATTCCAATACGGCAACATCAAACGATCTACAGTAAGATGGTATCCCGTAAGGAGCATCGAGTCCGGCCTCGGGCCGCGACAAGGCATCCGGGGTATCGGCATTCCAGATAATCCCCAGGCATCCGATAAATCGGGCATCGTCAAGCGATACACAGCAAGACGGCTCCAACGTGTGACCACACGAGCACACAAGCATTCCGGCCAATTATTATCTTCTCAATTAGCCCATGCATACATGAATCATGCTCTCCTCGATGTCATACAATAATACCAAGTGGCCACACATGCAAACAGTCAATCAATTCTTGCAAGCTTCGATATCAAACACGAATATCAACTACCAAGTATCACTAACATTACTTGGCATAACAGAATAAAATAATTTAATTCCAAAAGTCTCATAAATTTTCCACAGAAACTTTCGATCAAACAATTTGCCATAAAATCAATTTAATACGACAATACGCGGCAAAATCGCCAACATTCAAGCTAGAAATCATAATTTGAAATTATAAATTTTCCGAAATAACAATAAATTAAATTCGGAATTAATTAATTACTAATATCCGAAAATAATTTAATTTTCCAAAATGTCAAAATATTTCGTCAAATCGAAATCATTCAAATCATTTCCTAAATACGCCAACTTATACGGCGAAAACCAACATTGGCATCACAATTTGACGCTAGAAATTTTTCGAAAATAATAACATTTAATTTTCGAAAATTAATTATTTAATAATAAAATATTAATATTTAATCCGAATTTATCATTTAATAATAAAATAATATTTAATTCCGAAATAAATTCATTTAATAAAATAATCAACAATAATAAAATAATTAATAACCTATCATCAAAGATCATCTAATAATCCAACATTAACTTAATCTAAAACCTTAATTAAACTACCCTAAGCAAGTTTAACACCTTAAACACGGGATTAGGGGTTAACTTACTCGGCTAACGCCGGCGATGACGCGAGGACGACGGCAGCGACGAGGGCGGTCCGCGGTGGTTTCCGGCTCGGCCCGGCGAGTGACGGACGGGCGACGAACGAGCGTAGGCCGGGCTAGGGTAGGCTTCTCCAGCGTGGCTTGGCTGTTCCCAACGACTGGGACAGCAGCGGCGACGGTCGGAGGTGGACGGCGGAGTCGGTCCCGGCAGCGAACGGAGCTGGGTAGGGCGAGCTCGGTCCGGCGAACGTCCGGGACGGCGGTGGTTCACGGCGGGGAGGAGCGGCGCTCGGCGGTGGAGGAAGAAAAGCGGGCGGACCGGCGAGGACACGACCCGAGCGTGGCTCGACGGTCCGACGATGAGCGGTTTTGGGGTGATAGCGGCAGCGCGGCTCGACTAGGGCGGAGCCATGGTGGCGCGACGAGCGGTCGGTTCTCGCGAGGAGCGATCGGCGCGAACGAAGCAAGAACAAGAAGCCGAAGCGGACAAGAAAGGGATGAAGAAGAAGCAACGGCGAGGAGGAGGAAAAGAGAAGAAAAAGAAAAGAAAAAGAAAAGGAAAAAGAGAGGAAATGATGGGTTGGTGGGGAGTGTCAGGCGCATGGGGGGGAGCCGGCGGGAAAAGAGGGGAGGAGAGAGAGAGAGAGAGAGAATGGTCAAATCGTACACAAGTGCGATCCGACGGCCACGGTTTAAACCCGAAAAACGATCCGATGGTCCCCGAAAAATCCTAATTAATATTTTTAGGATTTGGCCAAAATGGTGTTAATAAAAACACACTGCGAGGGTGGTCTATCAGTCCAAATTCGCACCCGATCAAAAATTCATTTTTCACGTATCCTGGTTAATATCGAGATTGGCCACACTAATATCGACACCGTCCAATTAAATTCGTTCTGGAATTCCGAGAAATTCAACACCAAAGTTTGGGCTCTAAATAACGGCCAAATTCGATCGAATGCGATTCTAGCGAAATCTCAATTTTAAAAACAATAACCGGGAGTGATCAGTTCCCGGGCGAGATTTTACTATAAGCACATCGACGAATTACACGTTTTATAAATCCCAAAAAGGGGTTGAAATTCGGAATGTCACATCCCTGTACCAAACAAGACTTGGAAACAGCACGCCTTAACATCGCACCAAGATCTTGTGGGCTTGAGCGATCCCCATATCAAACAAGACTAGGATCCGGCACGCCTCAATACCGATCCAAGACCTCGCAGCCTTGGGCGATCCCCGCACCGCGCGAGACTTGAGCTCGGCATATCTCAATACCGATTCCAAAGCCTCTTGGCTTGGGCCATCACATCTTTGATGTCGATTCCAAGTCGAACGAACCTCAACCTCGCTCCCGATGTGAACACATACAAACTCACACATCCAAAGCGCAGCAAGGACTTAATTTTCATTATGCCATGAACGATCCTAAGTCCGAGGCTTAGCCCAATTGCCAAGTATCAAAGTCTCCCGCACCAATCCAAGACATGAAATCGGCATGCCTCAATACCGACTCATGGTCTTATGGCTCTGGGCAACCTTGCCTTGCATTGAACTCAAGCAACGAACCTCGGCTTCATTCCGGTGGTGTAAGACTCAAGCACACAGTTAAGACATCACATGAACGAATCACACATAACAGTCATCCATCCTATCCACGGCTTGACGAGTGAGCACCGTCTAGACTTAACGGTGTAAATGACAATCCTAGAGAGAAATAGAGAATTCTACTTACCTGGACAAACCTCAAGAATCCAAGAGACTTCGCTTGGGAGGGGCGGCGGTCGCACAGCCTTGACGGACCTCGAGAGTTACCGAAGACTTGGTGGTCGCACGCCTAAGGAGGAAAGAGAGAAACAGGCAAGGGCGAAAGAGATGGAGAGAGTGGGAGAATGGCGCCTAAGAATGGGGGAAAGAATGAAGGGCTTGCTATTTATAAGCTCAAGCCTTATGATGACAATTTCCACGGGCCAATCATCTCTTTCCATTTAGCACGCCGAGTTGGCAATCTAAGGTTGAAGTGGCACACCTAATTGCCGAGTTGGCGCGCCTACTTTGTAGGGTCGTCGTCGATTATGACCCACTTGCTCGCATTTTATTGGAACGCCTCATTTGCCATATTTAAATGGGATTTAATTAATCCATGAGGAGGTGGCGCCTATTTTAGGCCAAGGTGGCGCCTAAACCTTCTAGGCTCGTTATGGAGTCCGAAATGGCCCGCCTTGATTGGTCCATATAATGCCGAGTCCCAACTCTAGGTGTTTAGGCCAAATCTTAAGGTCATTATGACCATATCTTAGCTTAGGCCACCTATCCAAGTGATTGTTAAATTTATAGGATCGTTATGATCCTTGATGACCTCACGAAATTTGGTAATTGTATACTTCTGCGCTTGAACTGCTGAGTTCTTATGGGGCATGTTTAAGATTTGATTCCATGTTCATTGGTATGTGGTGTCTTATTGGAAATTGGGTGAGCTTGTTAGCGATAAACATGTCAAGTACATATTGTCTGCTTGAAAAGTATGTATGAAATTTTAATAATTCTCTTATTGTTCTCTTGTCCACTTCCTGCCAGTTACCGAAAGTGACTTGGTTTATCTAAATCTGCGATTCAGCATGTTGGCGTTTGGTGGTCTGCAACCTATTCAAGATTGCTAATCAAGCTTCGAAACAGAACATTGGAGTGTTTGGATTAACCCAAATCACTTAAAGACATACAACCTTCGGCCTTCATTCTCTAACTAGGTCCCAAGCATCAACTCGGGTAAAACAATTAGGTGCATTTCCAGTGAACATTACTATTATCTTCAGCAATATGACAACGATAAAGCATCCCACATGAACTAATCCGGCGTCGTGTTTGCACTATGCTATATTGGTCCGTCGCCAGAGTGATGGCACCCCCGCGTACAATCTGTGGGTAGGGTTCGATTTTGAACTCTGGAGTGAGAATAGAGGTTAGAATTGTCACGACCTAACCTCCCGCGAGAGAGAGAATAGGTTTAGGG